AATATAATTATCAATAGTTTTAATGATTTCTACATCATCAGTCTTTTTTCCTGCTCTGTTGTCAACATGTACAGTGATGATAAATCCAGAGTTTTGACCGTTTAGCGTTAGCCGTTAGCTTCACCAGCCGATCACACGGTCACCTGGTTTCTGAGCTCCAGCTGTTATAGAACCTCCTTGGTGTTGACTTTCAGCCACTGTCTTTAGTTCCACATGACTGCTGCACCTCAGAGTGTTGCTTTGAGCTGAAGCAAGGCAGTGTTTGACAGCTCAGCAGTAAAAACTTCAGCTGTTTGCAGGATTATCTGGCTCTGATCAGTGTGTAGAAGTAAAATGATCCATTTGTCCCTGCATCACTTATTAAACCTCTCTGGTTCCTCGGAGGTGGTTTTAAAGACTGTCTCCATCTGTTGTGTTTTCTTGTAGAAAAAACGTGGCAAGACAAAGTCCCTGGACAAAGTTGAGACCCTCAAACCGTTGAATTGCTCTTTGACCCTCACAAACAAAAACCTGAAGTGTAATGGCCTCCACCCAAGCCTCCCTGTGCCTCCTCCCCCCGCCCTACCTGCCCCCCCTCCTCTTCTTCCTCTGCCCCCTCCAAACGAAGCGTCGTTACCTTCAGAGAGCAGCAGCTGCAGCTCATCCACCTATTCAGAGGAGTCGTACCCGAGCCACCTGCCTCTGCCCTCCCCCCTCTTCCCCCCCGCCGGCGTGTGCAACGGCCTCAGCCTGTCCTTCCCCCTCAGTCAGCCCCTGGCCAGGTCCAGTCAGGAGAAGCCCTCCACGAAGAGGCGGCGGTCCCGGCAGCCGGAGCTGCAGTTCCCTCCTGAGCCGGGGGAAGGCCTGGGYTCTCTGCCCAGCCTGCAGCAGCTCCTGAAGGGGAACAAGGAGCTCGGTGTGGGGACCAGGACCATGGGGGTGACGGCCGTCACCGGACACATTTGACACTTCGCTCTCTCACACCACCTTCTGTTCACTTTACAGCAGCAGGCCTGTGTGGACAGTTTGTTCTGAGGAATCCCAAAGAACTRTGTTTCCCCTGAGCCCCACTGGACCCAGGTAGAGTCATCAGCTTCAGGTGGACCTGACGCTGCCCCTGTCCACTCCTGTCAAACAGCTGTTTACAGTTATGTGCCTTTCTTTCTGTGTGAAACTGTAAAGGTTTAGAGAATGGTTGATGTGTAGAGAAGCACATCTGAAACAAGGCCTCCATCAGAAGCTGCTGTTTTCTTCTGATAAGCACATTGAGTGACCCTCTGTGAGCACATGATGAGGTCTGACCTCAGCCCATCGTTCCTTCAAGTGTTAGGCTTCTGTTTGAGCTGTGAGAGAGCTGTGGAGCTTCTGTTAAAGGGATCCCMGACTAGTGCTAACATTAGACTTTATTTCATAAACATATACTTTAACTGTAAAATAAAAACTGTAAAAATACTGTAGGCTGTTCAGTTTTTATCATTTTTAAACTAAAAGTTTAAAAATATATTTTAACACAGACGGAGCCATTTTATTTCCACACAAAGCATTCTGGGTAAATGATGACGTGGATAGGTCCTCGGTGCGAGGCTGCTAGCGAGCTATATCCACCCTGAAGGTTAATCTTGGACAATATCTGATGATCGACTCTTTTAAAGGGGACCTGTTGTGCAAAATTCACTTTTTAAAGATTTTTTT